AGGTGGATTAACATACATATTTACGTAATTTTGGTAATCCCATTTAGGTGGGATTACGCTTCCTTACAGTATATAACTAGAATGCCTTGGTCCAGGCACTGACATCTCTGGTCCATCCTCTGTTCAAATGTCAGCCAGCAAGCCAACACCTTAAATCAAGAAATAGCTTCCTAATATCTACACAGATACTTGCAGGAATACCTCAGCACGCAGGAGTCCAAAAGTGGCAGGTTAAAATCTGGAACCTCAATCAGTGGCTGATACCGGATGAGAAACTCCCCCCTGGGCACACAGAAGACTAGGCACCTTGGAAGGGGCTGAACAGGCTGTGCTCTAGCATGACGAGATGCAGAGCCAATCTTAAGAAATGGGGCCACAAAGTGGAGCCCACAACATGCGAGTGTGGAGAAGAGCAATCCACAGACCGCCTACTACAATGCAGTTTGAGATTTGTCACATACATAATGGAGGACCTTCTTACACCGATACCAGACACACTCAGAAAGGCAGCTTCTGGTCAAAGGATATTTAGTATAATGCCAAGTTTTTAACTTTGTTTGTGGTTTTTCTATACTTATAACTGTATCCTCAATTTGCTTCTGACACAATAAATAAATAAATAAAATCAGCTAGAATGGCATGAGATCCCGACTCATTTTACAAAAAAAAAAGGAGATAAACAGTTACAGTGTTAAGACTTTTAAATATTTCCACCAACAGAATAAGATATACTTTGTTTAAACTGGTGCTCTTAATAAATATTTCATTTACACGCTTCCTCTGTGAACTGTGCTTGTTAAGCTTGCAGTCTCTTTCAGATTCCATCCCCATTTGACTTTTGGCTAGATTAGATTTTCAATTATCCTTCTTAGTAGTTTAACTTACAGGTTGATTGTTACTCCACTGCCATGTCTCTAGTGATCCGGGATCCCTCTTGTTAAGCCCGACCCAGACCCATCTGTCATTGCTGTAAATGAATTTTAAAAAACACACTTCAGCGTAAGGACATTTTTCAGCACAATTGCTCTAACATTGTAATCCTGCCATTATACAGTCCTGGGTTGATGATCAAACTGTAATTGTTTTGGAAGAGTGTTACTGTGTTGACCTGCCAAACTTCTCATTATGCATCTCTCATTTGAGTATTTGATTAAACATTTCTGCAAGGGCCCAGCCCATAAGGCACACAAAACAGAGCCATAATAATCATTTGGCTTCAGTCTACATATACCGACATCAAGGTTTGTAACTCTCTATGAATATACAGGCTTGCAAAATGCACCGAGCCTAGTTATATTGCTTATTGGATTAACACCTCACATTTTAATTAACTAAAAATAAAAACTACCTGAATAAAAAGATGTCTGCCAGACCAGAAGGATAATAGGCAGCATGAATCAAGGGTCAGCTGTTCATGGATCTTGTATCCTGGGGTCAATCTGGAATGGCAAATGCCCTGGAATGGTTCTGACCACTGGTCCTGAAGATGGAAGGGAGTCCTGATCATCCCAACCCATCTCCACACTGCTTGGCATCCAGAGTGACATTGGGGTGTGTGTGTTGTGTGTGTGTGTGTAGGAATCATCTCCTCCTTTCCTCCTCCCTTATCCCCAATGTGCCCTGGAAAACATTGTTCTAGGTGACAAGCAGTAGTTCATATCATGCCTGCTGGTTGCTGCCACAATGAAATTAGGAGGGGAATGCTGAGTGCCATCCTGTGTCCCCAAGCTGCCTAGGCCCAGGAATATGGGATTGCAGTAATATATAATATATAAAAATATTGATTAGTCCCTTAGGCCATATCATAAAAGGATGGCAGTATAAACAGTTGCAGCTGGTTCTGTCTTGGAACCAATCCAACTGTTTACATGGGTCCAAAGTTGCAGTTTGCTCTGGATTCTTGGGGAGAATTCAAACCAACCCACTACATCTGTTTACGTGGCTCAAGGCTACATTAATTTCAATCAGGTCCATGCATCATGCAGCTGATTCTCCCCCTTCAGGATAATGGTTCGATGTAAATATGCCCCTCTTTACTCACTATAGAAGACAAGACACATCTACACCTACCAGATTACCTGACGCTGCCCAAGAACATCCTTGGAAGCCCTTTGGCTGTCCACAATGTCAGCCGGCTGAGAGTGCAAAGTCAGGTGGTCAGCATGACTGCATGGAGCTCCGTTACCTTACTGCTGGAGTGGTACCTACTGATCTATTCACATTTGCATGTTTTGGAACTGCTAGGTTGGCAGAAGCTGGGCCTAACAGCGGAAGCTCACCCTGCTCCCCAGATTCGAACTGCCAACCTTTCAGTCAACAAGTTCAGCAGCTTAGAGGATTAACCTGCTGCACCACGGGGGGCAGGCTGGTGGCGCAGTGAGTTGATCAGGATCTTTGTTTTAAAGCAGATGTAAAATCAAAATGTTTTGAATTTGGGAACATATTAAAACATGTTACCTTTTTTTTGGTACTCCATATTTGCAATTCTGCAAATATGAAATACTTTTGAAAGCAATGGCATCATAATAACAATAATTACGACAAAATAGAATACAACAAAACGTCTTTTGAGACTTTGGTAATAAGTGGAAATAGCCATAACCATCAGAAATTGTGAGAGACTAAATGATGAGTTTGACAAGATTATCTGTTGCCACAGGAATTTTAAAACCACACCTTCTGTAGATATTAATGGAAAGTGCTATATTTACACATATCACATATTTTAAATAATCCATGAAACAGTAAGGTAAAACAAAATTAATTTGGGTAGGAATATTGCAGTCTGTCACTTTTAATTGTACCTGAATTCTTTCTATTATTCTGCACAAAGAATACTTTGCACAAAAATATGGTTTTAACGCTGAAATACGGAATGAAATACCATTTAGAATCCAACCATTCATCTTCTGTTCACATAATTTTAATGCATGGTCTTTGCCGATACATTTTAATTAAGAGAATGGGGTGAATTTGTAAACACAGAGACCCCAAACTACTGGAAAGGTTTAATGCTTGATCATTTGCTAAACCATTCACTCATCAAGGCATTGTTCTTGAATTATGAAATTGTATGGGGTTTTATTTGTAAGAAAAAGGTAGTTTAAAGCAATGTTAACTTATTAGAAAATTAATAGTGACTATCCAATAACACAAGGGCATAATAGAAACCTTTCGGATGCCTTCTCCTTGCTGAAGCACAATGGTGCACTTACAGGAAAGAAAAAAAAACATTTCCTACCAAATCTAATTTAAAATTACTTTTCCTGACTATCAGGACCTTTATCATTCTTCCCTATCTTTATATAAATAAATCAAACTTTTGAGATAAGATGGGAACATCTTATCACAAATATTCTATTTATTTACAGAAATATATTGAAATAAATTTTGACATCAACTGGTATTCATCAGAATACAAGTGTCCCAGCTATATTACCTGATCGTTTTTCTCAGTATTTTATGGAATTCTCTCATTTCCTCCAGACTGCTGAAACTAGGAAGGTGTCCTCCAAGAGCCTCGCAGAACCTTTCTGCTTCTTCCCAGGTTCTTGTTCTCAACACTCTTTCTTTGTGGAAAAACTTTATATGAAAACAAAACAAAGATCATGCTTCTTACGAGATAGCCAAGCATATTTCATTCAGTGGAAACATCTCTCATAGGCCCCTTCTACACTGCCATATAATCCAGATTATCACATCAGATAATCCCATGAAGTGCTTTGAACTGGATTATATGAGTCTACACTGCCATATAATCCAGTTCAAAGCAGATAATATGGGTTATATATAAGAGTGTAGAAGGGGCCGTAGAAGGGGCTTTAGGCCGGATCTACACTACTATATAATCCAGATTATTTGCTTGGAATTGGATTATATGGCAGTGTAGTCTCAGAGAATCCAGTTCAAAGCAGTTAAAGTGGATTGTCTGCTTTGATAATCTGGATAATCTGGCTTTAAATCAACCCAAAATTACTTATACACACTTTTTGCTTGGCCTAATAAATGTATTACACTACATGACTCCCTGTGAGTTGGTATTCCACCTTGTTTTCTATCTTGTTTGCTAACAAAATTTGGCCCAAGAAAAAATGTAGAATTGTCTAGGACTGGAGTCACTCACAAAAACAGCCCCACTGTTTAAATGGGGAAGATGGTTTTTGCTCCTGTTATGCATTAAATAAGCATCAGTGAACTGGGCGATTCTCAGGAACAGTTTATTTATTTTCTTTGGTCGGTATCCCATTATTCTTCCAAAATGTTACTCAAAGTGGCTTATGGCATAAGACACTTTTCTTCTCTCATTTTCTTCTCCTTCTGGTGCAAAGGAACATAAGTGAAAAATATCCAGTGGAAATGTCCTAATCCCTTAATCCTTACAGCAGCATGAATTTCTGCTAGGTCAAAAGCACTTTCAAGAAACATAAACATAAAGGAATCTCACAATCCAAATCAGTGTCCTTACTCAAATGGTAGAGGACAGAAGGAAGGAGAACAGTTAACAGCACCCTTTTATCAAATAACGTGATAATGAACTCTTCTAGCCTGGAAAAACCTACAACCCAGTGATAATGAACTCTTCAATCTGGAAAAATACTTAGAACAAGAGAAATCGTATCGAGATATTCCACAATTTTGAAAATACAAAACCAGAGTAATATCAAAGACGCGAAGTCTATGACTACCTAGGTGTGTTTTCATGTAACTGAACTAGATAAAGCAGGATATTTAGTAGGAATAGTACATTACCTTGTAACAGGCAAGACCTGATCCAGCCTGCCATCCTTGCGGACATGGGTCAGTGACCTTAGGCGGTGTGTCTGGCTCTTTTTTGGGTCCAACATATTTCTTGCAAATAGAATATGCTTTAAACGTTTTGCAATCCATAACCTCCCACTTTCCAAGGTGTTTTCCACTTGACATAACCACACATCCTCCTTGAATATCTGGAAAGTTGATTTTTTTAAAAAAAAATCACATTTAATTCGTTGTGAGCTATTTTTTAGAAACAGAGGAATGTTCAATGATATATTATGAAATACATGGCAACATTTATCTAATCTTACCTGGCTGGAAAGAGCCCCAGTTTGTGTATGTTAGTTTTTCATAATTTCCATCTACACTTTCCCAGCTATATTCTCCTGAAGATTTGCTATCTTGCAAGCCAGTCCAGAAATACTTCCCTCCAACTTTGCTGTTCCTCCTAATCAGACTGTTTATGAATTCTTGTTCAAACCTGTAAGCCAGATATTCCACATTAAACAGCAATTTTCCTTATCAAATGCATGAATACAGTATATTTAATCTGGGACAGGCAACTTCCATAGACCCAGGGACACATATATCACCTGATGAACCTTGGAGGGCTTTTCTTCCCCTGTCCCCTGCAAAGAGATGTGGAGGAAATCTGCCACATTTACAGGTCCTTGGGGGATGAAAATGTACTAAAGTCAGAAGTGTTACACTGTTATATGGTGCTGCATGATGCGTATGTATGCGCTTTGCCTACCCTGATATAACTAATAATGAAAATGAACAAAATTTGGCTATCAGTATTAAAAAACCTCTAAAATCAGGACAGTAAATAAAGAGCAACACTAAAAAAACAGGGGAATTTCAGACAAGAATCAATGCGGGCCTGTTAACTCCTCCCAATAAAGGATCCCCCAGGCAGCAACCAACCAGTCTTTGAAATTGCAAGGCCATCAAATGCTAATCAAGGTGGCCAATTGCAATATTCACACTATCCTCAAGCAGACAAGAGTTCTTTCTCCTACCCTGGACATTCCACAGATATATAACCCTCACTTGCCTCATTTCCAACAGACCTCACAACCTTTGAGGATGCCTACCATAGATGTGGGTGAAATGTTAGGAGAGAATGCTTCTGTAACTTGGCAATACAGCCCAGAAAACTCACAGCAACTTTTACTTCTACCGGAATGTCATTTTTTTTTTGTTTCAGCTGCTGCCTTCAGCTTTCAAGTCAATTCTGATGAACGAAATCCCAAGTGCAAACTTTTCTTGGCTAGGTTTATTGTGAGGAGGTTTGTGATCACCTACCTCTGAGGCAGAGAGTGTGTGACTTACCCAAGGTCACCCAGAGAGTCTCCATGACTAAATGAGGATTAAACCCTGTCTCCCAGAGTCCTAGTCCAGAACTTATAACATTATGCCATGCTGGTTATGCTATGTTATTAAAGGTACAGAGGAACCTTTAATAACAACTGCATACTTTGCAAATTTGTCTTATCTTTGGCATACCAACTGTCTGTTACCACAACAAGAAAAAGAAAAACATTACACAATACCTGTTTGTAATAGTGAGATTGCATAGTTTTCCAAATGAAACTTCATTCTGGTCAATCTTGTAACAAAAATCTCCATGCTTTATCCATCCCTAGTTTGGAGAATGATACTCTTTTACTCAAAGATAAATGGAACAGGTATTATATAATTTACATATCAACTCACATAAAGATCCCTGGTCTATATTGCTTCATTTCCAGAGGCAGAATGAAAGCACCTGTTCCTCACTTTGTCTCAAGTGTATATTATTGTTGATCTCTAGCTTCTTTGGGAATAAAGAGGTAGGATGGGGTTATAACTAATATTACCATTTGGTTTTATTCCTGGCAGAAAACAACAAGCAAAGCAGGAAAGAACTGATGACATTCACTAGTATGCTGCTTAGAAGTCTGATTTATTGTTAGGCTCAAATATGGCTACCTTTAAAAAAAGGTAGAACAACAATATTAAAATTAGTACTATTTTTCCTTTCTTTTTGAAAAGGAACTGAGGGGGCCCTTCCACACAACCATATAACCCAGAATATCAAGGCAGAAAAACCCACAATATCTGCTTTGAACTTCCAGTTGGAGCCCCCAGTGGCACAATGGGTTAAATCCTTGTGCTGGAAGGACTACCAACAAGTGGGAAGTTCAAATCTGGGGAGAGTGTGGATGAGCTCCCTCTGTCAGCTCCAGCTCCCCATGCAGGTTCATGAGAGACGCTTACCACAAGGATTGTAAAACATCAAAACTTCCGGGTGTTTCCTGGGCAATGTCCTTGCAGATGGCCAATTCTCTCACAACAAAAGCGACTTGCAGTTTCTTAAGTCGCTCCTGACACCGGGGGGGGGGGATATATATATATATATATATATATATATATATATATATATATATATATATATATATATATTCTCCCGTTCAAAGCAGAAAATGTGGGATTTTATTCAGCTGTGTGAAAGGGGCCAAGGTCTCATTTTGTGGCTTTTGGGGGGGGGCGGGGATTTGTTTTATTTTATTAGGGATGGTGGTTAATGTATCATTAAAAACTAATGCATGTTTTAACTAATGTTAAAATGTTTATGAACTGATCTAAACTGCTACTTTTATTTACTGTAAATGTTTTTAATTTCCTGTGCTTGGAAGCTACTTTGGGTCTCGCTCAGATAGCATACACATTTCAATAAATAACTACTTAGGAATTGTTATTAACCTGGATGTTAAAAAATGGCTCAGAAACCCTATGACATATATGTATAGTTTAGATAAGTCAGAATCCCAAAACATTCCAGGATGTTTTGCAATTAATATTTCCCATTTCTGATCTTCTAAGTATGCAAAATCATGGTCAGAGATAACATTTTAAATAAAACTGCCACAACTGGTTCTAACTAGCATCATTCCTTCTTCCTTACCTCACTTGAAGGGCAATCTTTAGAAGATTTGGGTGCATCCAAGACTTTCCCCTTTTTCATGCAGACATATTTTAGTTTTTGTTCACAAGACTGGATATTCCATCGACTCAACTATTAGCAAGAGGAAAAAGTAAAGTATTTTTAAACACCCTGATGATTATTTTAATTCAAGTATTATTTCAAATAATGTATATATTGAATGAAATAATTTAATTTATTTGTATTGTAACAGCAATGGGAATGGGTTTAACCATTTCTCAGCTGTTGCCATTTGCTGTTCATCTCAGATGCCTCTTTCCAGCTTGATAAGAGCCTAAAGACCTGCATAAGCCTCTGCTGCTTTTAAACTTGTCTCATATAGCCTTTTGATTATGAAGAAGGAAACTGTTGCACCACAAAAACCGGCATCTGTGTGAGACTCCTCTCACAAAAAGCTATAAAAGAGTCATGGGACATCTGTGCTTCTTAAGAGGCTGATGATTTTATCACATTGAACCGCACACCCACTTCCTAATCCCAATGTAGAAGAGGTTAGAATCTTCTTCTGTTTTCTGATGTATCCTAAATGGAAACAATTCTGGAGCCCATTTTACACTGCCATATAAAACCCAAATTATCTGCTTTGAACTGGATTATATGGCAGTGTAGTCTCATATAATCCAGTTCAAAGCAGATAATCTGGCAGTGTAGAAGGGGCCTGAGTTCTCCAAACGAGAACAGCCTACAAACAGAGCCAATCTCTTTTCTTTGCTGCGTGTTGATTCATCAACATTGTGCTGGAAAAGTTTCATTGGAGCAAGAAAACCTTAGAGATGGAGAGTGGCCAACAATTGGAAAAAGCATTGACAATTCAGGTGACAACGTGCAACAGAATAACTACCCTGTGGGTCTAGTTTTCCAGCTATTACAACAAAAATGTGACTCTGGGGGATAAATAGTTCTCCAAGCATGAGATTCAAGGTAGGTTATTGCCATTAAAAACAATAACAATAAAATAATAAAACAAAGTCAAAACAGAATTAAATCCAAGTTCTGTATAAAAAAACACAAATAGTCAATTTAAAAAAGCATTTAAGGGAGAACAAAGCAGAAATGAAAACACCCCAATCGAAATTTGCTACAACGTATTAAAAAACAAATGCCCCGCTACATAAAATAAAATATTTTCCCAATGATGAAAAGGCAGTAAGGAGAGGGTCATGATTGTACAAATTGATGCAGAGAGTGTTTCCCTCTGTCATTTCTGCACCAAATGTGCCTGGGATAATGGTGGGAATGAGAGAAAGATCTCTCGCGAAAATCTTAAAGCTCGGGCAGGTGCCTATAGGGAGGTACAGTTTTTCAGATAGATACCTTTCCTGAATATGCTACACAGTTGGGAGTGTTGTTGAAAGGAACGTTTGGCTCATTTTGATCCCAGTAAGTAAACTCCACTTCAGATCCATCTGACCACTTAAACAAGGCTGGAGTGTCCTCATTCATGAAGCCTGTCCATACCTGGTCTTCTGTTTCTATAATCAAAAGTAGATATTACTTCAAAAAGTAATACAAGTTAATCAAATAAACTTGAGCACCTTTTCATAATGCACTGAAATATTTTTAAGATGCCTCTAAATTAGTGATGGAGCCCCCGGTAGCGCAGTGGGTTAAACCCTTCTGCTGGCAGGACTGCTGACCAAAAGGTCGGCGATTCAAATCTGGGGAGCGGGGTGAGCTCCCATCTGTCAGCTCCAGCTTCTCGTGTGGGGACATGAGAGGAGCCTCCTACAGGATGAGAAAACATCCGGGCATCCCCTAGGCAACATCCTTGCAGACAGCCAGTTCTCTCGCATCAGAAAGCGACTTGTAGATTCTCAAGTTGCTGCTGACACACACACACACACAAATAGTGATTTTAAAGAATATGGCAAAAACAGTACATTTCATTCTCAATCACATATTTATTTTTGTTGAATAGCCTGCAGTTCTAAATGGTTAAAAAAATTGTCAAAGGACAAAGAAATAACCTCCCACATTAAAAACTTCCATTACATTATTAATTTAAGATTATGAAAGATGCTTATACAAAAAACAAACAAACAAAACAAAACAGTAGAGTACATTCACATCCATGACCTTAGCCAAAACTTACCATTATGAAGTTTTGTGACAACTAACTCAACATCTGCTAGGGAATGTATGCTGATTAAGTTACTATTGCTTGCATTGCATGAATGATATGCATCTTTCCAGGAAGCAGAGTTGTTTATAGGCTTATAGCAAAACCCATTGTGAGGATTCCAGTCAGATTCACACTCAGTCTCCAAATAGCTCTGAACTCCTGAGAACAAAGGTGAAATATGTGCAATTTACACTGAACATTGTGTAGAGCAAAACCACAGTTACAAAAGAGGAAACTAGAAGTAGGGGTAGGGAATCTCAGGCTCTGGGATAGATCTGCCCCTTTGGACTGATCCGGATGATTGCTCCCCTTTTGAATGACGCAAGCTTGCTGGTTTCCCAGGTTTTGTCAGTTTTCTTGCATTGCAAAAGGTAACATGCGGCCGGCAACAAAATCAAGGCCTCCCAATATACAGGCAACAATGTAAATCCTAAATGTAGATCTCAAGTATTGTAGAAGGGGGTGGGGGACGTGATGACACAATGTGTAGGATTGCCTGTGCTGCTTCCTGAAGTTGAGATAGTGTGATTTTCATTAAGCGTTATTTTACAGGCAGGAATTGTCAGCAACCTTTGTCTGTGGCCCATGACTTGAGGCTGAAAGAGTGGGATTCACCCAAGGCAACAATTTATAAAAAGTTTATACTAAAAATGGGGAGCTCCTCCAACACTAAATGTGCCTTCTTTGGGGAAACCCAGCAGGCTCTGAGGCTGGATAGAGAAACAAATTCCACTTAGTGCAGCCACCTAAACCTCAAACCCTTCTGCTCTGCTGGGAAAGTCATGCCAAAATTGCCAAGGCCAGAAACTGCCCAAATTTTAGGGTGAATACTTAGGTTTAAGGCATAGTAATAAGAACCTTATTATTTGAGAAAACAGAAATGCTGGACCACTCTAACAACCAGCATGTCAGACTACACAGAGAAGTCATTGAAATCAATTTCAACAGAAAGGAGGAAACCATGAACATGAACAAAATCTGGCTACCATGATTATAAAAACTCTAAAAATCAGGAAAGTTAATAAACAGCAATACTCAGAAAAAAGGGGAATTCCAGGCATGAAACAATCAGGGCCAGCTAACAGCTCCAAACAAAGGATTTCCCCAGGCAGGAAGCAGCCAGATTTGAAGCTGCAAGGCCATTCAATGTTAATCAAGGTGGCCAACTGCAACATTCACACTTGCCTCAAGCAAGCAAGAGTTCTTTCTCTTACCCTGGACTTTCCACAGATATATAAATCCCATTTGCCTAGTTTCCAACAGACCTTACAACATCTGAGGATGCCTGCCAGAGATGTGGGCAAAATGTCAGTAAATAATGCTTCTGGAACATGGCCATACAGCCCAGAAAATTCACAGCAACTCAACTCTATTATCCTCTGGGAAGAGGAGGGATCAAGGAGGGAAAGGCTTAATGCCAAATTAGGAACCTGAGACTTCCTGCAGAGCTGCCTATTCAACAAACCAACTTCACCTCCATGCCAATTTGATAACCACAACAAATCAGGCAAAATTAACCATATAAATCACTGGTAAAGCTCTTGTGGAGTAATGCATGCAAGGAACAAAGGATGGGCATGAGGAGTGACTTGGCCTTAAATAGGCTCCAGCTCTTTGGTGAAGCCAACCAGCCCAAAACCAGCTGTGGTCTCCTCCACAGGGAGATTCAAATACACCCCCCTTGGGTCTTTGCTTGCCAGCTGCAAGTGGGGCTTTTCTTCTGCTTCACAAAAGGTTGACATTCATTTCTTGATCTTCCAGGCACTGACAATTTCATTCTCATTCTTTTTCATTTACCTCCACCCAGCACAGGAATGCAGACCCCCAAAAGCACTTTTCTGAAAATGAATTCAGCTGAAAGATGCTCCCCACACTTGAACACAGAATCACAAACCTAATGATACAGCAGGGCTTGGCGACAACTCTGCAGCCAGAACAGCTCCACGCTCATGCTCTAACAGTTATCTCTGTTTAAAGAGCTTGGTGAAAATCTACATGTGATTGGAGAAAGTTACTACCTAACACAGGAGTTGCCTTGATATTCTGAAATATAGGGCAGTGTGGAAGGGCGCAAGGAATCCAGAGTTGCTATGGGGTATGATACAACAAGAAGAGGTAAAAGGGCCATCTTGCTACCTGTTGTGCACTAAAATAACATCTGATGCACAGATCCTTGCATTTTATGAGTCGTTTGACCACAGGAACCAGCATGGTGTAGAGGTTTGAGTGTGGGCCAAGGTTCAAACCCCCTCTCAGTCATGGACATCCACTGTGTGACCTCAGACAAGTCATACCCTTTCAGCTTCAGAGGAAGGCAATTACAAAACAAACATTGGCAAGAAAACTCTGTGACAGGTTCAGAAATGACTTGAAGGTACACATCAATAATGGCCACTGCAGTATTCCTTTTGGCCACAAAGCAGATTGTCAAAAGCCAAAACAGGACAATCTAAATTCAATGGAGAGTTTAGGAATACTGTATGAGTGAATGGAAAATTGCCCCATCCCAGCCGACGGAAAAACACTTTTCTCCCATTTTCACAAGTGATGACCTAATTTGACTGCTTTTTCCCCTTCTTCCCACCATGCTCACTGTTTGTTTGCATTTCCATTACAGTTGCGTTCAGAGTTAGGTCAAAGTTGGCCACAATTCATGTTCTATTTTTAACTGCCTTCTTTTAGCTCCTTTGTTGCAGTAACATAAATAGTGAATCCCCGAAACAGAGGCATTCATGCAGTCTGACCTTTCATAAGTTTAATCAAAAGTGTGTCCTATCTAATTCAACAGAATATAGATTCCTCTACCAGTTTAATCCTAAATCAAGGATGCAAAGACTTGTAGAAGGTAATATTAGAAGCCTGCCTTATCTGCCAACAGAAATCCCCTTCTGCCAGCAAAATAATCCTCACTCCCAGATCTCAGAGGTATGCAATTAGATCTCTGCTGGCTAAGATTTGCTGGGACAACACCCAAAAAGGAGGTGGAGAAGGGATGGGGAAATGGAGGAGCCAAGTTCTTTCAAATCCAGATAATCTCCAGATCAAGAGTACAGTCACAATGCTGGCACAAAATTAGGTTGGGTCAATTCTCAATATTCCTAGACGGAGATTTTATTCAGCTCCAGCAGGCCTTGAATCGGCACAAGTAGCCCTTGGCCCTCCTCACCAGTTTGGATCATGCAACACATGCATGCTAACTGAGGTAGGTTAGGATTAGGGAATATGACAAGCTTCTTCAACCAGCAGAATTTCCCTTTTGCTCATTACCATTTTGGCCAATTAAAATGATGTCCTTATGTGCATAAATTGTAACATAAATTATGAACAATGCTGGACTGAATATGTTATTGTTGTGCCTTCAAGTCATTTCCAATTTATTACAACCCTAAGGTGACCCTACCACTGGTTTTCTGCGGATGAGAGAATATGATTTGCCTAAAGTCACCCAGTGAGTGTTTTTTTGACTAAGTGGGGAATCAAACTATGATATCCAGTTACAGTCCAGCACTCAAACCACTGCACCATGCTGAATACAGAGGGATTTATTTCAATGTACATGTAACTAAAATGCTAGAATGTTTGATAAAAGTTTTTCTAATTTGGTAAGTACAGAAGATTGCTTTGTAAACATTTCTTGGAGAAAATGTTTTTTTCATAGTTAATACCCCCCCCCCCCCAATTTCTGTGAATCTGCTTATTATCCAAGCTTAAGAGAATATGCTGAAGAGTTTAAGCCATTCAGGGTTGCGATTCTGAGGTTTTGGAATGCTGTTTTTCTTGTAGACAGGCTTTAAAGTTACTTAAAGATGTTACTTAATAATGATGAGCAGCTGCAATATTTTGGGCATTTAAAGTACATAATTATTTTTCTGAAAGCAACCCACAATGCAATTACCTGGAAATTCTGCTTTGGTGTTATTGAATTGTTTCTTGCAGACATATGGAAGCGCAGTCTCACATGGATAACTCTGCCAGTTGCCTGCATCAGCATTCATAGCTACACACCCAGTTCCATCTAGGAGAGGTGTCTTCTGCATTTCTGTGGAAGAACAATGAGTAGTTCTTAAAACTCTATGGCATAAAATCATAGTGTCACATAATTACAGGATTAGGAAAGTGGAGATAGAATACTATCCTCTCCCCACATCTCTGGCTTATTATTATTATTATTATTTATTATTATTTATTATTATTATTGTTATTATTATTATTATGCTCTTTCTTTCCACAAAGGAGACACAAAGTGGCAAATAAGTAGATGCCAAAACATCAAATCTGCAGATGAATTCTAAGACTGTATTTTATGAGAAATTATTTGGCAAGGCTGAAATTCTATGCACACATTCCTAAAACCAAGTTCCTGTGAATATAGTGAGACTGAGTACACATGAATACACACTATACTGAATGACAAATATAGTTACCTTGAGCCCAACTAAGGAAGTTCAATGGAGTGTGATCTGACCACTGCCAGCCACCAGAAAGATCCAGTTGGTTTAATCCAATCCAAAATATCTCTGCAATACCATCTTTAGCTGTTGAGTTTAAAAAAAATACTACAACTTAGTATAACATTGATTTTCACAATTATCTACTGCACTGAAGCAAGTAGATGCTTTTCATTGCTTATTATCATTAATTTAGTGTCCAAACAGGAATATTTTGGCACTGTAGAAAAGGCAGAGGAATTTCCATTGCAGTTATGAATATTGGATGGAAAGTGGTTGCAAAAGTATCATACAAATTCAACTGAATGTGCTTTGGTAGATTTAACTCCTGGTTAATAATATAGAGAAGGGAAATACACCAAAGTCAATGAAGTACTCTTTAAAAACAAAGTGAGGTAGTATAGGAAAATGATTTACTGAAAAGAAACATTTAACCTGCTTAGACATGCAGACAGAAAGAGCACCACCCAGGTAACATAAAGCGAACCTGTATATATAAATCTCTTTCTTAATCCTACCTTAAACACAGAATATTTGCAATGGAAGTTTATCTTTAGTTCAAGGTTTAACATGACAACAAGATTAGATAAATTACCCTTTTGGTTTACAATCCCCAGAATCATCCAGCCACCATTTTAGAAACACATTGCTTCTGAGTTTAAAATAGGATTACTTCAAAGAACTAGCAAGCCATTCAGATCATTGTCATTAGGTTTTTTTTAATGAGGAAAGTTTTACTCTATGCTCCTAAAATGATACTTTTTCTAGTCATTTTGAAGGATTTTCAGTCATCTTCATATTTTAAGTGCACAGTACAGCTCCCATAATTGCAGGACCAGTACTCAACATTTCATTTATTAGTGTCTGACAAAATATTTCCTCCTTAGGCATTTTCTGGGTTCTTCAGCACGACAAGATGTTATACTTCAGCCAGAAGTACTTCATTTAATCTGGATCCTTTTTTATCTATCCAGGCAAGGTCTGAGAAGATGCCCTACAGATGCTGGGATCGTACTGTACTGTTAAAAAACTACAAACCAATGAGCAAGATATGCTCCTTCCACACAGCTGTATAAAATCCCACATTATCTGTTTTGAACTGGGTTATATGACAGTGTGGACTCAAGATAACCCAGTTCAACGCAGATATTGTGGATTATCTGCCTTGATATTCTGGGTTATACGGCTGTGTGGAAGGGCCTTTTATAAGCTTTTCTTTTAATAATAAATAACTAAACATAATAACATTAACTTTTTGAAATAAACATTCAAATTTTAAAATCTGAATTCTTCTGCAACTGCTGCAGAAGAAGAAATGTTTCATGAGATTCAACAGTATATGAATTATAGCAAGTAAGTATGTATTAGACTAGTTACAGTAGAAAAGTGGGAAAAAGCAAAAGGGAGAGGAAATAAAAAAAACCCTAAGCACATGTTTTGGTTCCAGAAGCTCCTGATATAATTCAAGCAATTGGGAAAGCTTAGGACCAGATATTGGAGATAATATGCCTAAGGCATTCTCTCTTTGAATGAGTAAGCGCTGGTGGCTAGAAATCTATCTATCCCGAAATTACCATATTTCTGTTGTACAGATCCTTTATCTTGCAATTGCTAGCACCCACATTCCCCAGGATTGACTCTGTATTGTATTTACCTTGAATGTAGCTTAATTCAGATGTGCTGTGGATGCTCAGCAAATCTGCACCTTGCCTCTGACATGAGACATATGCTTCCTTCCAAGATAAGGCAGCCTGGGTATTTAGCTGGTAGCAACTTCCAGATTTCTCATCATGCTCCCATGTATCCTGACAACCATCCTCTGGGGAGGCAAAATACATAATGATGAAACCTGGGTCCCACACAGATACTTCATCAATACATTAAGAAATCCAACCAGATCTAAAGTTCTGCTGCTATATCTTTTCCACCTTTAGCATGACTGTACAAGCATGCAAATGTAAGAAAACCATATGTATTTTCCATGTTTCCACTCAGCCTCCCTTCTCTGTCCCATGCAAATTTAAAAGAATGTAGACAATCAAACAGAAAGAGTGCAGAATCTTCAAACACTTCATACCCCCCTTTATTGTTTGTATGTGTGTTTACAGAGAACAATGAGAAAATTGGTTTGTTTAAGCATGGTTCTCTAACCTCCTTACAATAACTACACCAGTGAATTCATAATACCTAACTGGCTTAGTTCTGACATTATGTAGATGTGGCCTTGGAGACCAGGGTTCGAATCCCTGCTTGCACCAATGGTCCGCAAGAACTAAAATATGGTCCACGGACTCACCACTACTACACTGTTGCAACGAGAGCGACTAGTATCATGAAACAGTCTTACAGTGCCAGAAACTAGAGCCGATGTGGTCTATCCAACGCAATTTTCTGAATCAGCACCCCAAATAATAAAACTGAATCTAAAGTTGACCAAAAACTGATTCGTAACCCTTTTGGTACTAATGTTGGAGAGTGGTCCCTAGACAAAGTGATTCCTGGTCAAAGTGGTCCCTGGCCAAAAAAAGTTTGGGAACCATTGCCATATATTCTTCATACCATGACATGTCCCAGAAAAACTACTACAGCTCTGTCACTTATCACATTTGCTACAATCACATTCACTAAAATCATATATTTCTGTTTAATATTATAGGGCACAACTATAAGTAGATCCTAGTCATCCAATTTTTTTCTATGAAATGCAACAATAAACATTATACATTAAGACAACTATTTTTATTCAGAATGCTTCTTATGACACAGTACTTGCCTGGTTTTAAGCAGAACCCCCATTTTCCATGTTGACTGAAACTGGAGGTTGTGGAGCACCATTCACCACCCTGGAACATTTCATTCTGTATGCAATCGTGATGCCATGTCTTGTTAAACAGGAAGGGAAACTCACAAGGTTTCCCATAGGAATTTCCATCCCTGGTGTAAATTTCTAAAGGAAAAACAATAAAAAACAGTTTTAATATTTGCAAAAGTGTTTTTGTGGGATGTATGTGTGCTGTTTGGTGTCGGCTGTGCCAAATGGGGGTTGCAAATACATGCAGGTCAGATACTGGATCTCCTGCATTAAGGAAAGGCTAAGGGGTTCCTAGTTAAGTGGTTCTGCCATGCTCTGAGGGGGGAAAACTTGCTTTAGCAATAGCACTACAGGTGACTTTTGGCTTGTCCTCTTAATAAATCCTCTAAAGCAGAGAATGATATTGTTTCTAGGACTCTTGGTCATATGATCTTCCTTTCTCAATGACTCTGCCTTATCATGCTTTTAACATCATCGTAGTTCTAAATAATTGATACTAGTGCAAATAGTAGAAGCTGAATTGTCTTGTTTGTTGCGGCTTTCTGCAATGATGTCTGGCATAGAGCGTCTCATGTATTGATCCTATCTGTGTTTTTTTCTGTTTTGAAAAATATGTAAATCAATATACAGCACATCTGTGCCAAAACTGAAACTGAAAATACATCTAGCCAGAAAGAGAAACCACTGAGGGTGATAAAGGAAATCAGGCAAGCTGATGAAATGAAATTGCAGTTTTCAAGCCTGCATTTTTTCCCTGTTGGCTCCAATCTAGGTTAACAGGATTGACCAGTCAATTTTATGTGTTCCTCCAGCAAGCTTGATTGTTTCAGTGTGTGTTTGCTTTCTTATTTCCTTTCTACAAAGCAAATAAGAGCTCTCCTTTAAGGGTTTTTTGCAGGCTATATATGTAAAATGGTAGGACATACCAAAACTATTGTGATGTTTCAAAGAAACCTGTTTTAAATTGGGCTTAATTGGTCACTGTTGCCCTGCAATGAAAGTACATTTATGAAGCTAGACTACAGTGTCACCAATCCCATTATGGATGAAAATATCCCGAGGCCACCTGGGGATTATAGCCTTTATCAGCCAGAACAATTCAATCGATACTATATAGCTGCTGCACTCTTGGAATCCTATTTTTGGATTCAATAACAACTGTTATTATTATGACTGTATAAAGCACTCATATGTAAATGCTATACAAAAATGTTAAAAAGCAGCAATAGTTACCATACAAAGCAAGGAGAATGAGGAAAGGAACGGGAAAAATCTAGGAATTAGTTCTTCATAGTTCCATAACATAAAAGATACATGCTTAGCTGTGAGACATGGATCTCATCAACTAAATTTCCCAACAGAGAAAAACAAAAGACAGCTTGGGATAATTTTCATGTTTGTCTTCTCAGACATACCTATTGTTTTCCTTAAAGAACCACGAATTAACAGAGTTTGTTCTGTAAAATGTAGTAAAACTATATACAGCAAGACAGGAAGTAAATTACTAGGGTTCCCTGACCACAACATGGTGTAGTGGTTTAAGTGTTGGACTATGACTCCAGAAACCAGGGTTAAATTCAGCCATGGAAACCCACTGAGTGACTTTGGACAAGTCACTTAGGCCCCTTCCACACTGCCCTATATCCCAGGGTCTGATCACAGATTATCAACCTACCTCAGATTATCTGGCAATGTAGACTAATATAATCTAGTTCAAAGCAGATAATCTAGAATCAGATTCTAGGATATAGGGCAGTGTAGATCCAGCCATACTTTCAGCCTCAGAAAATCCCATAATAGATTCAGCATAAGTCAGAAATAACTTGAAGCCACACAACAACAATAAAGTTAGATAGGGGCAGGGTGGGATATAACGTAAGATCCTACTACTTTGGCACAGTTTAACATTTTCATCATTCCTTACACTTATAGATATGCATGAAGCATCGCTCCAAAAGGACCTACTATATATGAAAAACTGCATTTGGAAAGTTTTGTGGGTGTTTTTTTTTTTTTAAAAAAAAAACAGCAGCCCATGGTCTGCTATAATACTTTTGTTGTTAGGTGCCTCAAAGTTTACTTTATGTGTCCTTTGTGGGAGGGGAAATTTGCCATTGCCTTCCTCTGAAGTTGAGAGAGTATGATTTCCCCAAGATCACCCAGTGGATTTCCATGACTGAGTGGGAATTCAAACTCCACTCTCCCAGGGCTGTAATCTAAGGGCCCTTCCACACAGACCTATATTCCAGAAAAAAACTTCAGCTAATGATCCAGAGTTAATATCTAGTCCTGCAATTAACTACAAAGACTGTCATTTCCTCTTTACATTTGCTCTTTCGCTCAGAATTAAAGATACAGATCTGGATAACAGCTTAATTTAAAATTTTACAAACTGAGGGCCAAGCCACGGCTTCCTGATCCCCAAACTGTAAATGGAAAGTGGCATAAATTATATAGCTGCTACTAGTCATTCAGTCTGCAATGCCCATTTGTGGCTTCATTTAACCTAATTTTCATACTTTTGTGTAGTTCAAGCATATTGCTCACATTTGAATCATGATCAAGCGTTTTCAAAAAACTTTGAAGGCTGCACAACATTTTATTATACTATTTGCATTAATTCTACTGAAATGAAGTCAGAACTGTTGGTTTGATTGCCATTTGGAGAATTAGGAAGTTTTAAACATTGACTGATGCATGTGTGTCCCTTCAAGTTACCAGTTGACTTATGACAACCCCATGGATTTCATATGGGTTGTCATACATCAACAGGCAACTTGAATTCCTGTTGGATTCCTTTCTTAGGCCCCTTCTACACTGCCATATAAAATTCAGATTATTTGCTTTAAACTGGATTATATGGCAATGTAGGCTCATATAATCCTGTTCAAAGCAGATAATGTGGGTTATTTGATATGATAATCTGGATTATATGGAATCATAGAATAATAAAGTTGGAAGAGACCTCATGGGTCATTCAGTCCAACCCCCTGCCAAGAAACTGCATTCAAAACATCCCCGACAGATAGCCATCCAGCCTTTGTTTAAAAGCCTCTAAAGAAGGAGCCTCCACCACACTCCGGAGCAGAGAGTTCCCCTGCTGAACAGCTCTCACACTCAGGAAGTTCTTCCTAATGTTCATATGGCAGTGTAGAAGGAGCCTTAGTTTTCAAGACCGGGCGGGATCTGATTCCTCTAGTTTTAATCTGATGAATGAATGTGATGAAGTCTCTATCACATTTTCTCAAGTTTTCTGACAGAATAGGTCTTTCCTTATGATACTTAATGTCATATTGTACTGTTGTTAGTTGCACAATATTTTTGTATTTACATATTTACTTTTGATTTATTTACTCCAATAACTTATATCGTTTGGAGAGTTGCAAGAAAATAGAATAAAATAATTGTATCAAAATATACATTTGGAAGTAAACAGTGGCATAAATTTTCAGGGGGAATTCACTCCAGCAGCACAAGTTACTTTTTTAAAAATCCACAAATCGAGAGTCTAGATATTTAGGATAAGTAAAAAGAATTTCTCAGGACTTCACATTCCAGTGGTGAGTAAGGTCAAAGGTTGTACCAAAAATACCAGCCTATTTTGATTCAATGCACTTATTCTTAGTAACTATGCACTAGAGAGAAGTACTTCCAACTTTTTAAGATTGGAAACAGCCCTGCAGGACAGCTTGAAAACTACCAAACTATGATATCACGAGGAAAGGATTGCGATCCTCCAAGGAATACCAGACAGCTGTGCTTGGTCCCAGGAGGGCAGTCTTCAATCCAAGTCTATGGTTCCCTAAACCATTTGAATATCTGAATGTAAATCATATGTCATAATTAATTGGCTTGGCAATTTTTTAAAAATCTCTAAATTCGACGTATTAAAATATGGGATACTTGTATTCCCACTGCAGTCTTGTGTCATGGTATTACATTACTACACATTATCTGAGCCTCACCTGAGATGGTTCGCCTTAGATGGAAATGACTTGAAGACACACAACAACTGACATAAGCAGAGCCAAATTAAACTATTTGATTTAATGATTTCTAGACCTTTCATTCAAAAATTGTTTCACAAACAATCTATTCAATCTTTTTAAAAATCATAATAATGTGCAGATTGTGAGCTCTTCTGCAAACTATGTCTCTGTCTTTTAAGCCTCTCCCTTTCAGTGGAATCTTAGAATCACAGAGTCATAGAATCATAGAGTTGGAAGAGACCTTGTGGGCCATCCAGTCCAACCCACTGCCAAGAAGCAGGAAAATTACATTCAAAGCACTCCCGACAAATGGCCATCCAGCCTCTACTTGATCTTCCCTCACACTATTCCAGAAAGGGGCCTTCTTTCCAAGAGGCATGTAGCTGGTGACAGTTCATGCATGTCTTTATGCATTGGCTTGTTGAAGATTTGTTGGGCTGTATGGCCATGTTCTAGAAGCATTTTCTACTGATGTTTCACCTGCATCTATGCCAGGCATCCTCAGAGGTTGTGAGACCTCACAATCTCTGAGGATGTCTGCCATAGATGCAGGCAAAACATCAGGAGAGAATGCTTCCAGAACATGGCCATACAGCCCAAAAAACCGACAACAACCCAGTAATTCTGGCCATGAAAGCCTTCGACAATACACCTTTATGCATTCTCTGAATCTTAGTCTATCTTATGACTTTGGCCCACTACATAAATTGTCTTAGTTAAAGTGAAGTCCTGGGTTGGCTTCAGTGCAACCCAAATGTTCTTACAGCACAAATACATTCAACAGTGCCATGAAAAAGGTTCATTTGAATGTGAGTAATTGTTAAGGAGTCCTTACTTCTGAATGCTTTACAAGTTACATATCTGCTCCTCTATTTAGTTAATAAAATACTTCCGTTCTGTAGGTAAAATAAATGCTGCAAAGAAAATACTTACCATGGTATGGAAGCTTACAGATTACATCACTGGAATTGTTCCTTCTCCATGCATCGAAAGTGTCTACACTCACAGTCAAAACCCCATTCTTTAAAATCAGTTTGTTCTGAGATGCAGAATATACGGAGGCATCAGAGCATCGCCACCAAAGTGTAATGTCTGAATCACAATCCACTATTTTCAAGGGTTCCTTGGATTTGGTGGTATCTATTCCAAGGCACTTTTGGGATCCCAAGTTAAAAAGGCGATGTTGGGAGACCCATGTCCATAAGGTCTCTTTTGTCTCTTGGCAGTCTTCAGCTGTAACTTGCTGGTTTTTGACCTGGATGCACTTGTTGGCTTTTTCATGGCGTATGGTGAAAGTGTTGTCATCTTTTGGGACAAAAAAAAAAGACATGTGTTTTGTTATTCACCTGTAAGAATGAGATATAAGATTATAGTGGAGCCATGTTTTAGAGTGCTACAAAGAAACACAGGGAGCTGTCCTATACTAAATCGGACAATCGATTTGCCTCTCCCAGTTTTGTCAACATTGAGTGCTTGTAGCTATCCAAGGCCCCTTCTACATTGCCATAGAATCCAGATTATCATATCAGATAATCCCCATTAAGTGCTTTGAAGTGGGTTATATGAGGCTACACTGTCATATAATCCCATTCAAAGCAGATCGATTTGTAGAAGGGCTCAAGAAGGTCCTCTCATATGTATTCAACAAAGCTGCTTGTGGTGATTTTAAGACTAAGGGAAAACCTTCTCCAAGGAAATCACAACTTAGCCTGGCTCATATCAAATAATACAATCTTCAGAAAGTCTCAACTCAAGCCATACAGGGTTTTATAGGCCATACCTAGTATTGTATTCTGATTTATTCCCAAACATGGACTGGTTACCAGTTAAGACGTAAAAAACAGGGGTGTTGTGTGTTTTCTGTAATCAACTCCAGTCAAGAATTTGGACCCATCATTTTTGACTCACTGTCATTTCTGAATAGTTTCTAAATAGACCAATATGTGGAGTGAATTCAAAGTATAATGTTTCACCATGGTCACATCTCCCAGAATTGAACCACCAGTTTAAACAATGCAGATGCACTCTTGACCTCCTTTTGAACCTGAGCATCTAAGCATAAAGTCCGGAATCCAGGAGTACATGCAAGCTGCAAATCTGGGATTTCACAGGGAATGTAATCCCATCTGTCAGAGGCTGAACTTCTATGGTATTTCTGGATGTGCCTTTGAATTACCTCTACCTTGTCTAGATTATACTTCATTTCTTGACCCTCACTTGGAGCTTTAATGACAGGAAACGCTGGTTGAGCACCAAAATGGGAAAATGGAAAGGAAGATTAGATGAAAGGGAGAGTTCGGCAACCTATTTAAAAGTTAATAGAGTCATCTCTAGAGACTTCCAGAAGAAGCAAGTAACCTTTTAGGGGGACAGAAAAAGTGGTATGGGAAGCCAGGAGGTGTTGCAAGTCACAAAAACAGCCATGGCTCTGCATATGGTTTGCACGCACTGCAGTTTGCCTGCCCTGATATATACACTTGCCCCTTTGTATCACTGGACTCTGATTGCAGGGCTTGAAAATAGGATATTCAAAAATAAATTCCCAAATGTATACCTTTGATTTGTCCCAGTTAGCTCCAGAAAGTCTCGCTGAAATGGAAGTCAAGTTTATTGGAGAAAGATATGATATAATTTGGGGTACCAGAGAAAAGAACCCTGGCTTGATTTTTTTAACTTATTGATATATATTGACTTGTATGGAAGCAACCTTGAGATGACTGTGTTGTTGAAGGCTTTCATGGCTGGAATCACTGGGTTGCTGTGAGTTTTCAGAGCTGTATGGCCATGTTCCCAAAGCATTCTCTCCTGACGTTTCACCCACATCTATGTCATGCATCTTTAGAGGTTGTGAGGTCTGTTGGAACCTAGGCAAGTGGGGTTTATATATCTGTGGAATATCCAGAGTGGGAGAAAGAGCTCTTGTCTGTTTGAGACAAGTGTGACTGTTGTAACTGGCCAGCTTGATTAGCATTGAATGGCTTTGTAGCTTCAAAGCCTGGCTGCTTTCTACCGGGAGAATTCTTTGTTAGTAGGTGTTACTGGCCCTGATTGTTTCCTGTCTGGAATTCCCCCTTTTTCTGAGTGTTCTTTTATTTACGGGCCTCACAACAGACCTCACAACCTCTGAGAATGCCTGTGGGCAAAATGTCAGGAGAGAATGCTTCTGGAACATGGCCATACAGTCCAGAAAACTCACAGCAACCTGAGATGACTAATTCTTTCTTCTGACTGTGCCATGTGTATTTGTGTATTACATTCTGTCCTAGCTAAATTATTAATATTTTTACAATGTTGAATAAATAGTGTTAGTAATTCTGTTAATGACAGCTATGAAATCATCTCAAACAGCAAAATAATTGGGACTTTAGATATTTACTCAGAATTTATTAGCCCAAGTGCTGGAGCTTTGTAAACAATGCTTTTCTAGCTAGAGAAAAGCATGTTTGTGCACTCCCAGCCCACTCAAGGCATATTCCCTGGAGCCATGCCTTCAGCTATTTGCGAGAATAAAACAATTGTTCTGTGTTTAATGCACTGAGCTGAAATGCACTATGCAAGTTCTATTTGATTTCTAAAATGTCATCACTGCTACAGCAGGCTGTCAAACTTTCAAATGGATAAATAAAACGATACTTCATAACAAACCATCACAGATAACTCTAAGAGAAAGATGTAAGATGGGTTTATTAACTTGGTAGAAAAGCATAGGTCTGAAACTTTATTGGTCTGGACATTCATGTGTTTCATTAGGACTATAATCTTTTTATTTCATGTAGGGCTTACATTACATGACCAATAAAATTGCTGTATTTTCTTTTGTAGCCAGCACAATAAAATCTTAATAGAGCAGAAAGGCTATTTTGCTATCAAAAAATAATAAACAACATAAATAATCTAGGTTTGTTTGTTTATAAAAGCATCTTCCAATGCATGAATGTCTTTTGGAAACAGCCAGAAATTGATTAAAATCATTTCCTTGTACACCATGTGTTGTACTTGCTCTAATATTCTATAATGTAAAAGACAAGAAACAAAAACAGTTATAAGAGATACAATAAAGTAACTAGGACTCTTGAGGCTGGCAACATGATCTGAAAAGACATTCATGGAAACTAGGAGCAGCAACTGAACAATTTATTTCAGGCAGTATACTATTTCCTCTAGTACAGTGGTTCCCAACCTTTTTTTTAACTAGGGTCCACTTTGACCAGGGACCACTCTCCAACATTAGTACCAAAAGGGTTACGAATCAGTTTTTGGTCAACTTTAGATTTGGCAAGGTTATTAGGGATGCCGATTCAGAAAACCGCATTGGATAGACTACATCATCTCTAGTTTCTGATACAGATCATATGCTATCCAATAGTCGCCATCTACTCACCCACAGAAAACCATATTTAATAATCTAGAACTGCGGACCTTATTTTAGGTCTTGCAGTCCATCAGTGCATTTTACCTCTGTTTCTCTCTGAAACTGAAGTCTAAGGAGTAGTATAGCAGAGAATAATGTGTTAACCCAATTGGACACAACCAGTCTTTCTCATGTAGCTTGGTCACACTTTGACCAACAGTGAGAGCCTTTTGCAGAAAATTTATCTCCTGGGAGTAAATGAGGACAAGACTACATTTTCTCTATTCTCTGAGCAAGCCAAAATGTGTCATACCTGAACAGAGCTCCCTGTGGCTGAGTTAACAATTCAGCCTGGGAAATGTCATGCATATAGTGTTTTTTTTTTCCAAGAGTGAATTAATTACAGGAAACATGTGATGCTACATGGTAGCAAAACACAAATGTATTCAACCACTGTAGCAGTTTGAAAGGAGGTAAGCGTATTAATTTAGGGAGCTCTGGCATGGGCTGGTCCATGAGGTCACGAAGAGTAGGAAATGACTGAACGAATGAGCAACAAACGTATCAATCCATTTCAGTATTGAAAATGTAAGAAAAGAAGCCAAGTGGCTCCTTTAAAAGGTGTCACACTGTCATTTTATCCCTTTTGTTTTTATTGTGCTGTGTGATTTGGGGAGGGGGGCGGGAGTGAGTCTTCAGCAAGTGTGCAAATGAAGCATTTGAATGATAAACTGTACTAAAAGAGACAATAAAAACCAAGTGCTTTAAATATTTTTTTTAAAGTCTCTCACCAAAGTCACCTACAAAAACCTAGAAGTCACTGCACAGAGGAACTGGTCCTTTAAAGGCTAAAGCCGATTTCCAGAAGGAACAAAGCACATTGTTTTTACAATGCCTGCATGGAGGTAAACAATGGAGCTCCTGGGATGTGTCGACTTAATTCAAGAAGTGATTTGGAATCAGGAATGACAGAATAGCGAAACTGACAACTTTCAAAGGTCCTCCCCAAACTAGATGATAGGTAACAAGACAAGATGTAAGGAAGGAAAGGAGATAACTCTAAGGACAATTAAAATAACCCTGTATGATAACATCTGTTATAATCTAAACCCTATAGGCGTGCAGCGTTGGTAGGTATGCTCACAGTGTTAATTATCTTTGTGGTCTTCTATTTGCGTCCTTTTCTTGGCATTTACCATGGCTAGGAAGATGAAACATGACTTAAGGGATCTCCAGCTAAATCAGTTCCACTCATCTTAGTGCAAGATGGATGTGAAATAATTAATCGGACCACTTATCTCCAGATTAGGACAATATCTTTGTGGCTGCATCCACTCTGCCAAATTATAGCAGTTTGATACCATATCAGCTGCCATAGATCAATTCTGTGGAATTCAGGGATTAGTAATTCAGTGAGATATTTGGCCTTCTTTGTCAGAGAGCTCTAGTGCCACAACAAACCACAAACCCCAAGATTACACAGGACAGACCACATAGACGTTAAAATGATAATTTTGCAGTGCAGATGGGAAGTGTGACAGGTAGCATTTGAGACCAGAACTTGAAAAAGTTTTATACTGAATACGTCTTCCTCCCCAACAGCTTTTCCCTGCAAAACATTTTAATCAGTTTCTGCATCCCAGGCCCTTTCACACAACCCTATATCCCAGAATATCAAGGCACTGGAATAAATGGCAGCATGGACTCAGATAACCCAGTTCAAAGCAGATATTGTGAGATTTTCTGCCTTGATATTCTGGGATACAGAGCTGTGTGGAAGGGCCCTAACAGTGCTTACAGGAAAGGATCCTGTTGTACAGTCAGTCTACATAAAACGCAGTATCTACTGGAGATCCAGGTATTATGCTTTTCTATCTCAAACTCTACAAAGCCTTATGTCTTCTTCTTTAATTTTTTTCTTACTACTTCTTCAAAATGTTTGTTACTATTAGTA